CAAAAAAAAAAAAAAAAAAGACATATTTAAAGATAAACCTTATTGCTCAGAAAGTCCCACTATTTGTATTAAGGCAAAAAGTTTGACAAGATTTGATTTTTGTAGCAACACTGAATTTTGATCGACAATGCTGAGGAGTTGTACTCTATTCAACTTCAACATGATCCTGTGTTCCTTTGTTAATAGACTATTTGAATGCACAGAAAGATTCAAGGAATTCAAGCTAAAAGACCCCTTCTCACCTGGCCCACGAAGTGCCGTCTTCTGACAGAGCTTCGACTATAAAGCTTCACGAGAAACACGACATCCTGTTCATTCTGTGTAAGTGGGAAAACCATGGTCTCGCCCCACTTGACTCTCCCACTGGAGGCCTTCAGCAGGCGGGTCTTCTTCTTATAAATCAGCTCTCCTGAGCTGAACATGGCCACCTTCACAAAAAAACCTAGACAGTGCGAAGTTCTGATTTATCACGTGGCTCAAAATCCCATACAAAGGCATACATCTGCATATTATACTCACAGCAGAGAGATAAACGAGTAGCTCATAAAGGTCTGATGAGCCAGTGCCCTGACAGTAAACACCTCTAGTCGACTCTATAACCTTGACCACGCTTTGACTGAAACCTTGAATGAATGCAGCCCTCCTCTGACTGAACGCACTGAAGACTAGAATACAGGCATAAGTGGCAATCAACGCAAAGTGCATGCGAGGAAAGGCCACACTAAGGAGGGATGCGGGTCTTTGGCTAGCTGGAGGTGTTGCCATCACTATGGTACACAGGTAAAGTTCTCTGCTGGTGACCCGCAAGTTCAGCGCATGCAGAGCTTCCAGTAAGGCAGAACAGCTGGTGTAAGCACCTTCCCACAAATAACAATAATACACTTTGGAAAAAATACAAAAACATTTAAGATTGACCATAAGCAGAAAGAAATGGGAGGAGGCTGGGCTCCATGGCTCAGCCTGTAATCCCAGCACTTTGGGAGGCCGAGGTGAGGGGATTGCCTGAGTCCACTGGTTCGAGAACAGCCTGGGCAACTTGGCAAGACCTCATCTCAATAAATCAAAAAAGTTAGCTGGGCGTGGTAGCATGCACCTATAGTTCTGGCTACTTGAAAGACTGAGGCAAGGATGGCCTGAACCCAGCAGGCCAACACTGGGGTGGCCATGAGTGTGCCCCTACACTCCAGCCTGGGTGACAGAGTAAGAATCCAATTCAAAAAAAAAAAAAAAAAAGACGGGGACTGGATGCATTCAGGCTTATGCAGCTTTTTGCTGGAGCACATGGCACCCCCGACTGCATGTGACGCCCGCTGCTCGAGCATAACATGCACCTGGTTGAGGCAACAGAGCCGGGACTGCCTAGACAGCAAGTCAACGAGGAGAGAACTCCAGGACAGAGCCACAGTGTGAGGACGGAGACCCAACCACGAGATCTGTAAATGGAGACCAGTGGGCACCATGATTAGCTGGGCTGTCTTGATCCTGAGAGCCACTTGTTATTTAATAAGTTGTTGTTGCCGGGCTCGGTAGCTCAGCCTGTAATCCCGCGCCTTTGGGAGGCTGAGGTGAGTGGATTGCCTGAGCCCGCGGGTTCGAGACCTGCCTGGGCAGCGAGACCTCATCTCTACAATAAATCAAAAAATCAGCTGGGCGTGGCAGCAGATGCCGGCTACTTGGAAGGCTGAGGCAGAAGGATCGCTGGAGCCCAGCAGGTCGAGGTTGCGGTGGCGGGGAGTGGCCACTGCACTCCAGTCTGGGCGACAGAGTGAGACTCCAACTCAAAAATAAATAAATAAATAAGTTGTTGTTTTCTGAAATTTGCTATTCGGAGTCCTAGTGATTTACTCCAAGTTGGGTCTTATGTGCTGATTTTAATCTTAGGATTTTTGTATGTATCTACATAAGTGATATCAATCTATAGTGCTATCCATTATGTTTTGATAAGAATATGCTAACCATTAAAATTGCTCTTTCCATCTATTTTTCATGTTTTGGAACAGCTTGTATAGAACAGGAACTATGTGTTCCTAGAAAGTTTGGTAAATCTTCCAGTAAATGTATCTCAGCCTAGTGCTTTTATTAGAGGCAGTTCTTCAACTACCTTTTCATGGTTATTCTTTTATTCAGATTTTCTTCCTCCTCTTAAGTGAATTTCTTTGAAAATCATTTATTTTATATATATGTCCAAATATATGTATATAATCCTTGGAATTTGAGATTATATCCTCTTCCTTGTTCAGAGTATCACTCATGTTTTCTTCATGTTTTTGTTTGATCCAACCTGCTACAGACTTGTCTACTTTCAAAGAAAAAGCTTTTGGTTTTACTGATCATGATTCTGTTGTTGCTGCCATATTTGTTAACCTCAGCTTTAGCTTTAATGCTTCTGCTTTCCTTGGGTTTGTTGTTTTCCTAGCTTCTTGAATTGAATGCTGTTTCATTTATGGTTCATTTCTAGTTACAGTGAATATGCATTGCTTCTGCTGACTCCAGACAGTTCCCTTCTTCCAGTAGAAAAAAGGAGGCTGGGCTCAGTGGCTCAGCCTGTAATCCCAGCACTTTGAGATCAAAGTGAGCGGACTGTCTGAGCCCATGGGTTTGAGACCTGCCCGGGCAACTTGGTGAGACCTCGTCTCTACAATAAATAAATAAATAATTAGCCAGGTGTGGTAGCGTGCATCTGTAGTTCTGGCTACTTGGAAGGCTGAGGCAGAAGGATGGCTGGAGCCCAGCAGGTTGACGCTGGGATGGCCATGAGCATGCCACTGTACTCCAGCCTGGGCAACAGAGTGAGACTCCAACTCAAAAAAAAGAAAAAAGGAGACCTCTGGCTCTACTCCCAGTCTGTGAGGTCCTAGACTGACCTCAAACTTCTATACCTTGAACCCCTGGTTGTACATTAAAAACACAGGGAGGGAAAAGTGTTTCTAGATTTGAGTTTGATATTTGGGTTTTTTTGGTCTGTTTTTGTTTTTTTTTACCATAGGTTTCCAGTTAGCAGGGCATTCAACAAAGGGTACAGACCTAAAGAGACACTAAATTATTTAGGTAAACATATCTGGTAAAACATCTGAGAATCCTCCGGACATTCAACCTGAAGAACTGGTAAGCTAAATAATGCCATCAAAGGCAGAGAGGTCGCAGTTGGATAAGGATCAAGAGACCACTGCACTAAGGCTGACACAATAGCTAAAATTTGAAATCTCATAAAGAATCTGAAGTGAAAAGTAAATATTTAGGCTAATGAAAGTCATCAATATTTCTATCTCCATTGTAACAAATGTAGGAAAATCTTTCTGTCACCAGTACTGGCTGAAGTCTCCTTTGAACCACTGACACACTTACTCAGAGTCAGAGGTGTCGATGAACTTGGAAGATACTGTGCCTCAAGAATGTGTAACTGAATCCTGCTGTTCACTGCTTGAAAACAAGTCCCCAGCTCAAGTTCCGCGTGACAAACCTGCGTATTAAAAAAGTGCCATTTGGTAATTAAGAAGGAAGTTCTGTGATTTTTTAAAAAATCAGAGATAAAGAGCTAGGGTAGACACTTTGAAAGTACTGCATTCTACTGATGCTCAAAGCCCTAAGCTATAAGAGAAAGGTAAGAGGATAAATGTCATGGACTCTTTAAATAAATTCTCACATGCAAGAATTCTGAAAATACAAGTCATATCTACAGACCGAACCTTCAAAGTCAGTGGCACTAAAAGCCAATTCAAATTATAAACAAATTCATACATCTAATGACCAGCTTCTGTAAAGTAAGTCATTATAGTCATTTTTTACAAAAAAAAAAAATTAAGCAATATTACTGGATAATATGCCAGTGAAATGAACACAAAAGGAATACACTTTCCAAAGAATTAAAAGTAGCCAATTAAATTATTCTGTAAGAACACACAAAGTATGATAAAAATGTTACATATGAAAATCATCAGTTTTTCCAATTATAGAAACCAGAGTAGATGCTACCAGAATCAGAAGACAAAAGATTACTACAATCAACAGATTTGTGGATTAAGAGTTAAATTACTGCGCTGAATGGAAGAAGTTGCAGAGAGTTGGCAAGAAAGAAACTAGTCAAAGTGATGAGGCAGGAAATAATTTTTAAAAGGTCAAAGAAAACCTGAGGCACACAGTAAAATGAAGGAGACTTGGGGGAAAGAGGGAATTAAAATATGCTCTTCAGGCAGAAAGCTGGTAACATGTCTGGAGATACAACATAAGACAGACTACTTGTATGCATTCCAAGGTCCTTGGACTGAAAAATAAGAGAGAAACACAAAGTTGTCCAAACACAAAAACATTACTGTTAACATGTTGAAAAGAATGGAAATAAGCAAGAACATATAATGTTTACAGATCCTATGAGGGCTCAGCAGAGACAGACACAAAAGTCTTTGCTGTACAGATTCCAATAAAAGCATAGAACAATAGAGGGGGGGTTTATATTTCATAGTTGCCCATTATTCCCCAATAATTGGCTCATGGCTCACTGAAAGAAAAAAAAAACATAACCTTTCTATATAAATGACATTGGCTGAAATCTGGGTATTCTCTAAAAACATGCTGTGTTTTAAAGTTGGTGATGCCATAAGAAATCAAGAGAGAGACAATGGAAGTAATTGCTTAAGAAGTAAAAACTCAACTTTAACAGAGTAGATTCCCTCTTTGAAAAAGTCTAAAATGATGGTAAGACTTATTATTTGGCAAAAATGCTGGCTTCTAATAAATAAGTGAATGTATTGCTTTTGATTTGAATCAGAATGCAAATGGATTAATAACTTTTCACATGAACTGATTTGGCAGCCATATAAAAAATAAAATCTTTGCTGACTTAAAAAATTATTGCTGTCCTTAGCATTAAAATAAACATTCTAAAAGATACAGTCGGTTATTGCTTATAAAACACAAGGGAAACCATGGTTAAAATTTTTAAATTCTTTTTTCATTATAGTTTTGTTCTATGTTATAACACTTATGAAAAAACTCCAAAAGGTGGCAAAACTCATTGTTACACAAACTCATGAAACAGAGCAACATTTGGCAATGGGCTTTTCTACTTCTGACTTGCCAATTTTGTTGTTTCAGAAATTCAATTTATGTTCCAGGACATTAATTCAGATCATGAAAAATTATTCAAAATGGTTTTCCATCTCATAATAACCAAAAAGTTAAAATTCAAATCAATGAGCAGGTATGTATTGACTGTATTTAATGAACACAAAACCATGGGAGATGTAAGACATGGTCTCTGCTCCTGAATGTATCACTTTTTTTTTTAAAGAAAAGAAACTTTTATTAACCTTCCTGGAACAGCTGAAGATGAAATGTCAGGCACAATTAGAGAAGACCATGATCTGTGAGGACTGGGAACATGTTTTCAGGGCCGTGCACGGGGAAGCCAAGAAGGTGAGCTTTGGAAGTAGAAAGCTCTATGCAAATCTTGACATCCCCCATGGGCTGTGTGAACTCAGGAGATACTCCTGGTCCTGACCCTCAACAGGAATAAAGGCTGGGCCTTAATCTGGTGTGGCTACTGGACTACTCAGCACTGAGCCAGCTTGAGGCAAGTACCACACACGCCCACTATGTCTTCAGGAAAACATGTCTCTTCACATTATTCAACACAGAGATTTGAGGTCTGAGGTAACTACTTACATGACTGTCAAGGTCAAGAACTCTTTTTGTTGAGTAAAATGTTAGCACAACATGAAAGCTGTGCTGTTCATGTGAAGTAACTGTTGAGAATAGGTACGTGTGGCTCGTTCAGTGTCACAGTGAGAACATGTATCTTCTCCAACACTTGAGACACAGCATGCTGTCCTTGCTTTAGCCAGCCCTATGACACCTTCATACCCAGCAACATGAATTCACGGCCCCAGCACAACCCAGCCCTTCTCCTTCCTGGCATCGTCCTTCTATCTCTAGCGCCTGGCATATGGCAGCTACACTGTTGCTCGTAAGACCCTTGACATACAAAATGTAATTTAGTAGAAATTTAGCCATAGTCCCCTTGGATTCTCCAAGGCAGATACAATAATCATGTCTCAATTCCCCAAAAAAGGTCTTCACTGAGCTCTATTCTAATGTACTCTGTCTTTAAAGTTTTCATCTATGAATTATCCATCTGAATAGTAAATTTGTATCTTCTGTAAAATATGGTTGCAGATTATTGCCTACTAAGCTAGTGTCAAAGATGCCAGGGACAAACTCCTGGCACAGTTACAGAACAAATGTGCTCTATTTTACCAGAAAATAAGTACAATCTAATTCGGCATGTTTTTATTCATCATTTATTCCTCCTTATCTTGCCTACCTACATACTAATGTTCAGTGCCAATAATACACTAGGTCCTTTCTAGGAGCACAGTGAAATATAAAAAAACAGACGGAAGTGTGAGCCTAGTTTTGTCTTGTTTAAAGCAAGTAAATTAAACAATTATTAAAGGGTAATAAAGCCCACAGGTTCGTGACCCGCCTGGGCAACTTGGTGAGACCTCATCTCTATAATAAATCAAAATTAGCTGGGCGTGGTAGTTCCAGCTACTTGGAAGGCTGAGGCAGAAGGATCGCCGGAGTCCAGCAAGTCAAGGCTGCGGTGGCCAGGAGCGGCCACTGTACTCCAGTCTGGGCGACAGAGTGAGACTCCAACTCAAAAAAAAGAAAAAGAAAAAAAAGGGTAATAACCGTTATAAAGAAAACATACTGGCCAGACTCAGTGGCTCAGCCTATAATCCCAACACTTTGGGAGGCCAAGCCTATAATCCCAGCACTCTGGGAGCACTCTGGGAGGCCAGCACTCTGCCTGAGCCCACAGGTTTGAGACCAGCCTGGGCAACTTGGTGAACCCATGTCTCTACGATAAATAAAAAATTAGCTGGGCATGGTAGCACATGCCTGTAGTTCCGGTTACTTGGAAGGCTGAGGTGGAAGGATCGCTGGAGCCCAGCAGGTTGACGCTAGGGTGACCATGAGTATGCCACTGCACTCCAGTCTGGGCGACGGAGTAATACTCCAACTCAAAAAAAAAAAAAAAGAAAAAGAAAAAGAAAACATATTGGAGGTTGAGATAAAGAAAAACAGGCAAAAAAAGAAAACCAACAAGAAATTTCAAATTCTTCTGATCAATTAATGAATCTTTTTTATTTTCTAACCCCCAATTTCCCCTCCAATTTGGTGGTTCTCAGTCAGACTCCAGAATAGAACCACCTATGGAGCTTTCAAAACCTACAAACATGTCTGCCTCACACCCCAACAAATTTTTTTTAAAGCTCCCAGGTGATTCTAATGTGAAACAGGGTTAAGAAGCACTTCAAGCCGGGCTCGGTGGCTCAGCCTGTAATCCCGCGCCTTTGAGAGGCTGAGGTGAGTGGATTGCCTGAGCCCGCGGGTTCGAGACCCGCCTGGGTAGGCGAGACCTCATCTCTACAATAAAATCAAAAAATTAGCCGGGCGTGGTAGCACGCGCCTGTAATTCCGGCTACTCGGAAGGCTGAGGTGGAAGGATCGCCAGAACCCAGCAGGTCGAGGCTGCGGTGGCCGAAAGAGGCCACTGCACTCCAGTCTGGGCGACAGAGTGAGACTCCAATGCAAAAAAAAAAAAAAAAAAAAAAGAAGCACTTCAAGTTACCTTAAATAACTTTGGAAGTAGGTAAAATATAAATACCACATAAATTTAAAATTACACAAAGGTTTGACATTATAAAAGCTTATGACTGATTTTTTAAAGTATTATCCTACACAGAAACTATATAATTAAGTTATTAGAAATTGCTAAACAATTTAAAGACAGTTTTCAGCTGGCTAATTGAGAGAAGCAATTATCAGGTCTCAAAAATCAATCAACACTATTGGTAATCAAGCATTCAGCTGTGAAAATTTCCAATCAATTTATGAGCAAGTACAGAGCTTACTCATGACTAAGGTAACTTTGCTCATCTGCTTCAGGGCCTTTGAATTGAGTTTGGAGTTTACACTAGCTTAGCAGTCATCTGCAACCATATTTTACAGAAAGCACAAAGTTATCAGCTGTCCAAAATAACTAATTAATAACTTAAAGATATTCATACTTCAGGGTTATTTTCCTGAAGTATATAAAACATTAACAACAAATGTGCTAGGAGAAGGTGGCCCTAAGGTTATTTTCCAGTAAAGAAAAATGGTTCTGTTAATGTTTTATCAATTGTTTCTAAAAGACTATTCTAAATGACTTTATTGTTATCGCTCCTTGATAACCTTTCAGATCCTCTACTATTCTACAGTATTCAAGTCATCCTTCAACAAGCAGACAAAACCCATCTCCTAAATAATTCTGAAAGTACGAAAGACTTTTAACTCTACACACTATTATCACTTACAGAAATTTTTGACGGTGGTGTTATATCCAAAGAGTAATCCATTTCCTGTGTGCTAAGCGTTCTGAGTGATAGTGAACATTCTCCAATGGTTTTCTTCCTGGGAGCCTGGGTTTGAATCTTAAATACAAGCCTTACAGTTTGCAGAGTTTGAAGTTTAATGGCAAATACAAAAGTTTCCATAAATTCAACAGCCTTGGAAAAAAACAAGAAAGCATAAAATATATAAATAAAAGAATAATATGCCAATATAAAATAATATCTTATTTAATATCCAGGAAAGGTATATTTAGTTCTTTTTAAAACAACAAAAATAATGTTTTTTAATGCAAATGAAAATGAGAATGGTTTTTGCAGTTTGTCCTGGATACAACCTTTCTCAATTTTATAATCATTCTTTCAATTACCTAAGAATTCAGGCCAGTATTAACACCTCCCTCAGCAGAATATAGCTTCTTCCTTCTGTGAAAATGAGATTGCTTTTCCATCTCTGGTTCTGTCATTCACCAAGAATTCCACGTGCCAGCCCCCTCAATGCCCAACACTGGCTTGCTCACATCAGGACTTGAATTACTTCTTTAAAGGAGCACTCTTTGCCTAATGTTCTTCCTACTATCTCAGGCTTCAATCTCTCACCCCCCTTTTTAAATCTGAGAATAAAATTCCTCGACAGGGAAACAAAGGAAACCTGGGTTTAAAGTTACAGTTTCTCTCATGAGCCTCAGATTTTCTATGCTCAGAATGTTTTTAAAGTTATTTTATTCCTGTTGCTAATGTCGAGTTGAAGCTAGACTGTGCTCTGCTGCCTATTTCCTTCTTTCCCTTGTGGAAAGGGAAGCTCTATGGGTAGGTAACATGAATATTCTGGATATAGACACACCTCATTTTGTTGCACTTTGCTTTACTGTGCTTTGCAGATATTGCATTTTTCACACACTGAAGGCTTGTTTGTTGCAACTCTGCTTCCAGTAAGTTGATCAGTGCCATTTTCCCAGCACACGTGCTCACTTCATGTCTCTGTGTCACACTTCGGTAATTCTCACAATATGTCTAACTTTTTCATTACTATTATATCTGTTTTGGCGATTTGTGACCAGTGATCTTTGATGTTACCACTGCAATCGTTTTGGAGCACCACAACCTGCACCTACATCAGACAGGGAACTTAACCAACTGATAAATGTGTGTGTTCTGATGGCTCCCCGATAGACCAGCTGTGCCCCATCTTTCCCTCTCCTTGGGCCTCCCTGTTCCCTGAGACACAATATTGAAATGAGGCCAGTTAATAACCCTACAACAGTCTCTAGGTGTTCAAGTAAAAGGAAGAACCACACACCTCTCACTTTATATCAAAAGCTAGAAATTATTGACTTAGCGGGGAAGGGTATTGGAAGGGGAGACAGGCCGAAGTCTAGGTCTCTACGGCAACAGTTGGCCAAGTTGCGACTGCAAAGGAGGAGTTGTGGAAGGAAATTGAGCATGCTTTTCCAGTGAACACACGAATGACAAGGAAGTAAGCAGTCTGCTGATCTGGAGAAAGTTCCAGTGGTCCGGACAGAAGATCAAACCAGCCACAACATTCCCTTAAGCCAAAGCCTAACCCAGAGTAAGAACCTAACACTCTTTAATTCTACAAAGGCTGAGAGAGGAGAGGATGCTGCAGAAGAAGAGTTGGAGCTAGCAGAGGAGGGTTCCTGAGGTTGAAGGAAGAAGCCATCTCCATCCATGACATCAAAGTGCAGGTGAAGCAGCAAGTGTGAGAAGCTACAGCAAGTTCTCCAGAAGATCCAGTTGAGATCATGGATGAAGGAGGACACACTAACAACAGATGTTCAATGTAGATGAAACATCCTTCCATCGGAAGAAGATTCCATCTAGGACTTACATAGCTAGAGAGGAGAAGTCAGTGCCTGGCTTCTAAGCTTCAAGGGACAGGCTGACCTGCTCAGGGGCCAATGCAGCTGGTGACTTTAAATTGAAGACAGTGCTCAGTAACCTTTTTAAAAAACGTAAGGCCCTAAAAAATCATGCTCAATCTACTCTGCCTGTGCTCTATAAAGGGGACAACAAAGCCTGGATGGCAGCACAACTGTTTACAGCATGGTTTATGGAATATTTTAACCTCACTGTTGAGATCTACTGCTCAAAAAAAAAAAAAAATTCCTTTCAAAATATTGCTATTCATTGAAAATGCACCTGGTCATCCAACAGATCTGATGCAGAGGTACAAGGAGATTAATGTAGTTTCATGCCACTAAAACCTCATGGATCAAGGAGTAATTTTGACTTTCTAGTCTTAGTATTTAAGAAATAAATTTTATAAGGCTGTAGCTGCCACTGATAATGATTCCTCTGATGTACCTGGGCAAAGTAAATTGAAAGTCTTCTGGAAAAGATTCACCATTCTAGATGCCATTAAAGATGTTAGTAATGCATGGAAGGAGGTCAAAATGTCAACATTAACAGGAGTTTGGAAGAAGTTGATTCCAACCCTCAAGGATGACTTGGAGGGCTTCAAGACTTTAGTGTAGGAAGTAACGCAGAGGTGGTAGAAACAACAAGAGAACTAGAACTAGAACTAGAATTAGAAGTGGAGCCTGAAGAAGTTGCTGAATTGCTGCAACCTTGTGATAAAATTGCTGTTTCTTGGAATGGAAGCCACTCCTGGTGAAGATGCTGTGAGCATTGTTGAAATGACAACACAGTATTGAGAAAGTTCCATCAACTTTGTTAATACAGTAGCAGCAATGTTCAGAGAAGGGACTCCAATTTGAAAGAAGCTCTACTGTGGCCAAAATGCTACCAAACAGCATCACAAGCTAAGGAGAAATCATTCGTGAAGGGAAGAGTCAATGATGCAGCACACGTCAGTCTTATTTTAAGAAATTGCCACAGCCACCCTAGTCCTCAGCAACCACCACCCTGATTGGTCAGAACCATTGCATCAGGGCAAGACACTCCACCAGCAAAAGATTATAACCGGCTGAAGGCTCAGATGATCATTAGCATTTTTAGCAATAGAGTATTTTAAAATTAAGGAACGTACATTTCTTAGATATAATGCTATTGCACTTTGACTGAAGCATGGTGTAAATACTACTTTTATATGCACTGGGAAACCAAAAAGTTCGTAACTCTTTATTGCGATATCTGCTTCCTTGTGGTAGTCTGGAACTAACCTCTGGTACTTCCCAGGTGTGTCTACACTATGTCTCGGCCTCTACTCTTACTGCACTCACCTCTGTCTGCACAGTGACAGTGTGTTTCTGAGTCTCCCACCACTGAGCTATCTTTTTCATTTAGAGTCTCAAGGTATAGGGTCACACCAATAATATATCACACATACAAAATTTAATGAGCTTACAAATTAAGCAAGTGTGCTAGTTTACTTTACATTCTCTACATTTTGCCACAATAGAGATCTCCCAAACAGCTTTATACATAATAAGAAAACTTTAAAAGGATTCCATAAAGGTTTTAATTAATTTTTTCCTAACTTTTCCTAAGTTAATTTAGTTTTATTTGAAAAATCAAAAAGTAAAATTCAGAAAGTATTCATCTTTGAGTGTTAAGAGTATAACCAGAGTTAAGATTTATTTCCACCTAGACTTTCAAAGATGCATATTTTTATAAGGTAAGATCCTAATACACACACACACACACACACACACACACACACACCAATTTTGATTACTACCTCTTACACTTATTAAGAATATTTTTCATGTCCTTAGAAACACTTCCTAAACATTATTTTTCGCAGCTGCCTAGTAGTCTACCACGTGATGTTATGGGTTGAATTCTACCTCCCAAAAGATATACTGAAGTCCTAACTCCCAGTCCCTCAGAACGGGAACTGCTGAGGAAACAGGGTCACTGCAGATGTCATTTGTGGATGAAGAAAGGTAATATTGAAGAAAGGATGATTAGTGTCTTGTAAGATGATGCCCATGTGTATGCCACATGCGATGGACACAGAGATTAGAGAGATGTGTCCACAAGCCAAGGAGCACCAAGGACTGCTGGCCATCACAGAAGTTAAAGAGAGGCATGGGGTAGAGTCTTCTCCCGAGAAGGACCCTGCACTGCTGACAATTGACTGTGGGCTTTCTCCAAAGCTGAAAGAAGAATGTCTGTCATTTTAAACCACCAGGCTGTGGTACATTCCTTTGTTATGGCAGCCCTGGGAAATTAGCATACATGGATATACCGTTGGATTTCTCAGACATTCTTTTCTGTGAGATGTTTAGATTGTTTTCAATTTTTCCACCACGAACAAAACTGCCAAAAATATTTTATATATTTTTTGTTTGCATTTTAGCTTATTTCCATGGAACAGTTTCCAAGTAGAATTATGAGGTTAAAAAGTATAACAAGCCGGGCTCGGTGGCTCAGCCTGTAATCCCGCACCTTTGGGAGGCTGAGGTGAGTGGACTGCCTGAGCCCACGGGTTCGAGACCCGCCTGGGCAGGCGAGACCTCATCTCTACAATAAATCAAAAAAATTAGCCAGGCGTGGTTGCGCACCTGTAATTCCGGCTACTTGGAAGGCTGAGGTGGAAGGATCGCGGGAGCTCAGCAGGTCAAGGCTGCGGTGGCCGGGAGCGGCCACTGCACTCCAATCTGGGCGACAGAGTGAGACTCCAACTCAAAAAAAAAAAAAAGTATAACGAATTTAAGGTTTTTATATGTACTATCAAAATAATCTCAAAGAAGTTGTATGTTCTAATGTACTTGTAAAATTTTTCCTAATTCTAATAAGCAAAAAAGGAGAAAGAATGAAAGAGAGAGAAGGCAGTATGTAATTTAAATTGGTATTTCTATGATTAACAGTGAGAGTAAAAAAATTTTTTTGGCAATGCTATCTCTTGGGGAAAAATTTGTATATGTTTATTAGTCTCTTGATTATCTTATTTGTAAATGACATTTCTTTCTTAAGATACTTTTTCATTTGCATATAAAAACAATAACCTTTGACCTTATACAAAGACAAAAATGAATATGCATTTAAATTAATGTGAAATCCAATCTAGAAAACCAAACTCTGGATTACAGGTCTTCCATGTATATGGAAGTATTTCAAAGAAATGCACTGCAATTATGCAACTATTTTTCAAAGACAAAGTGGGCTGAAGGAAAGAAAAGACAAAATTTATTTCCATCCATATAAGAAAAGTAAATAGGTTTCTTAATATTGTTCATCTTCCATATATTTTAATGATTAAGATATTCTTTTTAAATGAATCTTAATATTGAACAATGAAATATCAAATATTTTTGAAACTCAAAATTGTCTTAAAAAAGAAAAGAAACATAGTTTGTACTTTTCCCAAAGTAAAACATTCTGATTGTTTACATGGATAAAATAACATATACGAGAAAAACAGGAAACAAATTTAAACACAAACAGTCACTTACACTGGACCCTTCCTTGGTTGAAGACTTGAAATGCACTGGTTTGGGTAATGTTAGTATTCCTTTCACAGAAATAGTAGGAATATCTCCATAACTAGAGGGCCAACTTAAATCTCTACACTAAAAAAATCAGAAATACAATGTGAATTTTACAAAGGACTCTGACAATACAAATATTTGACATATTTCTTGAGTTAATGATTTTAGATAAAAGCTACAAAAATAAACTTTAGTCTACTGAGACCTCATGTTTCATACACATTAAGTAAATTTTGATATTTAAAATTCTAGATGTCATATCAATTTCCTTCCTGAGGCTAAAAACATACAAACTTCCATCATAATACCCACTTATTTTTAGATACTTTATTAAATATTATTTTCTGTAAAATACAGTGGAATCCCAAGTTCCCAAGATGGTATTGACCCATTCCCCAGAAAAAGGCAACAGTAGATGCTTACAATGTCTAAATATTAAATTTTATAATAAAAGTTGGTGTTAATTATACTAATTTACCTGTAAAACTGTAATCCAGATCTGTTCTACTGAAGAATTATAAAACAATTTCACATTCAGTCTCCCAAAATCTCTTTCATCTCCTGAGAGAGTAATTGTATCTGGGTTGTGAGAGGACAAAGATGTTTGAAATGCTATACAATCCTTCAATTAAGGTCCAATATAATCCAATTTTAAAAGCACAACTGAAAAATACTACAATTACTTTTCAGAGTTTCTGTTTTAATAAGACAAAAACCACATTTCAGAGTTTTTATTAAAACACTAGGGAAAGATGTACTATAAAAAGCACATGGTTTAAAAACTGAACCCAACTGCAGTGTGAGAGGTTTAAATTAAAACTAAGAAAAGCCCTCCCAAATAACATTTACATGGCCTTAAAACTGTATGCTTCTGGAATTTCCTTCACTAATATACTTTAAAACAAACAAATAAAAAGATATCTAACTGCTTCACTTTTAAAAAGCTGCATCCATGCCTCAGCATTGAGAAATGGATCACCTGATCTGAGTATCCATGTCCTAAGACCTCCAACATAGCCATGATCAACAGAGATAGTCATCTGGAGTTATTTTTTGCCTTCTCATATACACTTGCAAATTACGGTTGAGTAGCACTAATTTCCTGCAAGAATATAAAGATAAGATCCTTTATTCCTTACCCAGGCTCCTGTTACTCCCCTGAGAATTCTTCCTTGAAGAAGAACTGCTGGGTACACTGGACAATGAATCATGTCTCTACAAATAAAATTCTTCTTTAGTGATAAATTGACATGAAACTTTAAGCATTCTGACACTTATGCCTCAACACGCCCCCCAGTAACAAACTGCATGCTAACCATTCTGACAGTGTTACTGTCAAAATGAATTTCCCACTTGTTGACAGTAAAGAAGAAAAGAAGCTGTTGTGTGTGTTATCAGGAAAATCTTCAACATTTTACAGGATAATACACTGGAAAGCCTCGCTACTGGTTGGGTTTGGTTTTGCAACAAGGGGAAAGATGTTTCAGCTTAAGTTTTACCCTGAAAGCATTAGTGAAAATCAGAATATATTTGGGAATGCCCTGTCATCTAAAAACCTGTAAAGCAGCAGTTACCAACTCATGTTGCCTCTGGATCAGCAGCACCAATATCACTTGGGAACTTGGTCAAAACACAAATGGAGGCCCCCTGAAGGTACTGAATCAAAACTTGGGGCTGAGGCCTGGCACTCTGTATTTTAACAAGCTCTTCAAACAATTCGAATGTGTGTAAAAGAACTGCTGTTATAAGGAACTGAGTCTGTAAAAAATAAACTTGACTGAGGATTATTAAGGATTGTTTAGAATATTTCGTAAAACATACATATATACATTCATAGGGAAGAAAGTTCACAAGTACACAGAACATTATTTTCGCAGTACTTTTACTCTCAGTTATAGAAAATATAGATGATTTGTCTTTTTTACTTTGCTTATCTCTACTTTTTAATTTTAAATAATCATAGTTTACCTGTACTTTTAAAAAAGTTTTTAAAATATCAAAAAAATTCCCAATTCCGAACAGGAGGATATGATGCTAATATCAGTAAATAATTAAGTCCTACATCTCAAGAGAAATACTAATTTTTAATAACTAACTGTTATGTTCAATAGGGAAAGTTAAATAAACAAGCAGTCTTAATTATACCATTTTAAGTACCAATTGCTTCAAGATTTCCTGAGCGCATTTCAATTGAGATGTAAAACTAATTTAAAAAAGAAAAACTGCCACCTTTTATTAATCTGATGACAGTTTCCTAAAATAACATATAAGAAATATTAAGTACTCTTCAGATATTAGAATAGATATATCTATAAAAAACATAACACATATTATTCCTAAAGTAATCATACATTCCTGAATTTTTAACTTGAAAACAAATTATCACGTATAATTAAATGTATATGGTTAATTTACCTGGATGAATCGCTGAGATGAACTTGAAAGATCAAACATAGATTTGCTTAGCCCAGGAGAACTGGGAAGTTTGTTGGTTCTTAAATCACAAACTATAATGGGACATGAGAAAAGTACTTATTTTTACAGTAAAGGAAAGACACCCTGGAATTCTACTATATCATGAACTATATCTCCATAGAAATACATCATGAGTATCATATGCAAATCTACACAAGAGATAAAGTCTTCTAATGAAAATGTTAGGTTTTTTTCAATTATTTTACTTCTGTTTGAAGGCAACACAAATCAAACAGCATATTTTCACGTTCACATCAGATAAAACAAACAGGAAAATTCACTTTTTCCTTATATTTCTCAACCCTTGATGTGAGGAAAATAATCTAAGAGTAAGTACTTTGTGCTAGCTGCAATTCAACTCCATTTAATCAGCACTTAGTGCTTTAAAAAACTCAACACAGAATCCCATGTTTTCCCGACTTCTAGTTTATATTTTCATTTCCCTCCTCAACTGAAAGATCCTTGGAGAAAGACACCCTGAATACCAGGGTATTCCAGCAAGTGATGAGCACAAGGCAAGCCCTTCTATACACTTCTTCATTTTCAGTACCTCGCCCTGAATTCAGTGGTTGAGAAAGGTGTTTTATATATATTTATATACACATATATATTGAAAAATAGTGAGCATTTTGTGAATCACAGACATACATGGTAGACTCTAACTGATATAGTCTCAAATATGAAACTAAAAATGTTCTGTAATCATTTAAGCATTGTCCATTTCCTTGGTTTATATTTCTACTCATATCATGGGTTTTAAAATTTATTATTTTCACTATCTTCACTATCTAGAGCAGAAAAGAGAAAAGATAACAACAATCTGTTGTAGAATTTATGAATATAGATGACACATAAAATGCATGCAGAATAATCTGAAAACAAAACTTTTTTATTGTATGCATTCATTGTGTACAGCACAATGTTTTGTGTACACTGGAATGGTTAACTCTAGCTAATTAACAATGCATCACCTCACACAGTTGTCATTTTTGTGGTGAGAACACTTAATATGCACTCTTAGCATTTTTCAAGAATACAAAATATCATAATTCACCACAGTCACCATGCTGTACCACAGATCTCCCAGATCAAAACTTCTTTCAAAAAAGGAAAATTAAAATGGAATCGTGAAATACCAACAGACAAAGTTCACCGATCTTTTAATTTTTATACTAGACATAATGCTGAGAGAAGTCACAATGTTTACCACAACACCGATAAAGACTGCTTTTCTCCTATTTTGAAATTGCTTCTAATAGTAAAAATCATTTCTTCCAGGAGCTTAGATTTAATTTGATTTCTAAATTTCTTAAAAAGGAAAAACATAGCCGGGCTCGGTGGCTCAGCCTGTAATCCCGCGCCTTTGGGAGGCTGAGGTGAGTGGATTGCCTGAGCCCGCAGGTTCGAGACACGCCTGGGCAGCGAGACCTCATCTCTACAATAAATCAAAAAATCAGCCAGGCACGGTAGGGCATGCCTGTAATTCCGGCTATATGGAAGGCTGAGGCGGAAGGATCACCAGAGCCCAGCGGGTCGAGGCTGCGGTGGCCGGGAGCGGCCACTGCACTCCAGTCTGGGCAACAGAGTGAGACTTAAACTCAAAAAAAAAAAAAGGAAAAACATTTTCATACCTGATCCATACAGTCTCGTTGCTTCTGCCTGAGGAGGGAAGCGCCGGCCCAGGTCTGGGGATATGTGCCGATACATGTAGAACGGGTTATACACGTCATAGCTGGGGCCATGCTGGGATGAACCAGAAAGTTCTACTTTTCTATCTCCAAAAGACGCTCTGGCAGATCCTGAAAGCAAATGTTTCTAAAGTTTTACAACATCCTTTTTTCTAGAACAATACAAGTAATACTACATCACATGCCTCTAATATCTAAAAAAATAAATCAGCACACGTGTGTAGTTCTGTGTCAAGTATGGTAAGAGTCTCAAGATAGTCTGGTAACATTTAACATTTTCCATTGCCCTATAGAAAATTCTATATTTGGTGATCTGAGTTTCCTCCTATTTTTCTACGTACATATAGGACATCTTTTAAATAAAAAGATTATCTTTTTTTGGAGATGTACCGTTTTCAAGGTGGCACAGAATATTCATAAAAACCGATCACATGCTGAGATATACTGAGAAACTCTCAAGTCTGAAAGGATCAAAGTCATACGGAGTATGTTTTCTTACCACAGTGCAAAAAGTTGGAAATCAAATAGCAAAAATATGAAAAGAAAATATTTATATGGAAACACTAAGGAGCAAAAATAACCGAAAAAGTAATCCTTCGGAGGAAAAATAAGACTACAAGATCTGCTCTACTGAGTATTAACAGAATATCAACACAATGATAGAAAAACATACCAACGGAAAAGAAGGCCCAGAAAGAGATACTCATTTCGTGAACACTTAAATCATAATTAAGGTGCCAACACACAGCAGTGGAGAAAGGACCACGTTTTCACTAAAAGGTGATAAGACAAAGGGATATCAATACGAAGAAAAACAAGCCTTCATTCAGCCAAATATATTCACAAAAATTAGTTCTATGGGGATTGCAGATCCTAATTAAATGTTAAAGGCAAACCAATAAGGCTTCTATATTTAACTTATAAGAAAATTTTCATAACCTTAGACAGAGAAGCACTTCTTAAGTGGAATACAGGAAACATTAATCATAGAGATCGTTTAACAAACTGAACTACACTGAAATTTTAAATGTCCATGTGTCCATACTTGTCAAAAAGACTTGTCAAAGGACAACTTAAGAGAGCGCAGAGGTAGCCTACAGAGTGGGGGAAGGCACACGTGCACGCACAGCTCACTAAGGCTCGCGTCGAAATAAGCATGGAGCATACTCATAAGCAAGAACAGACATGCCCACACAGAAATTAAGACTTAGACACTTCAGAAGAGGGACTATCAATCTCATCAGTCATGAGAGAAATGTAGGTTAAAACCCTAATGAAAAACCACTACACACTCTCCAGAAGCATTAAAGTTAGACACACTGACAACAGAAAGTGTTAGCAAGAATGTAGAGCAACGTAGACAATCGTATTCTACTGGTAGAATGTGAATCACTGTGCAAAGAGTTTGGTAATTTCTACCAAAGCTGAAGATATTTATACTCCATCACCCAACAATGCCATTCTGGACACATATACAATGAAAATGCTCACGCATGTGCACCAAGAGACATGTACAAGAATGTTCATGAATAACATTACCCATAGCAGCCAAAACTGGGAAAAATTCAAATGCCCAATCAACAACAGTAGATCTACAGTAGTATATACTTACTACATAGGAATACCATACATTATACTATATAGACACACTACTGTACACCATGCCATCTCAAACACAGGAAGATAAACTGTTGTCTACACTTACAGCACAGATATAAAAACAAACTAAAACTACCAGCAACTTAAACGAGTCTCACAAACATAATATTGAATGAAAAAACCACAAACAAAAGGATCTAGATTGAATATATCATTTCATTTATATAAAGGTCAGAAAACAGAAAAAAATTAAGCTACGATGTTCAGGAGTATATGCTTAGATGGTAACAAGTAAGAAAGGAGAGTTAAGATCACAACAATTGTGACAATGATTACTCCAGGGGACTGCACCGAAGGAAGCTTCGGGGTTACAGGTGATATTCTGTTTCTTTTTTTGGGGGGGTACCAAATTTCTTTATTTGAAGAAATGGTACAAATCAAAGAACTGAAGTGGACACTTTGGTGCAGTCTATAGAAAAGGTAAAGGAAGCCCCAACATGCATGCATTGCCTTGGTGACCAGGAAAGTCACCCAGTAGCTATGGGGAAATTAGCCCAAGGTTTAGCTGCCATCACTCTTTCCCAGAGTGTGCTTGTCAGAGATATTCTGCTATGCTAGATTCGGGGGTGCCCATCTTGCGTCAAGTTGGTTATGTAGTCATCCAATTCTTTGACGGATTTCACCTGCTCATTCAAGTAATATGTCTCAATGAAGTCACACAAGTGGCGGTCGTTTTTGTCAGTTGCCAGTTTGTGCAGTTCCAGTAGTAACTGATTCACGTTTTTTCCCAAGTGTGATGCACACTCCATGGCATTCAGCCCATTCTCCCAGTCATCATGGTCTGGTTTCTTAATGTCCTGAAGGAAGATGTGGCCACCATGTTGGTTTTGCAGCTTCATCAGTTTCTCAGCAAGCTCCCTTTCCTCATAAGATTGGTGAAGAAGTATTTGGCAAAGTTCTTCAAAGTCACATCATCGTGGTAAAAGTAGTACGACATGGACAGGTAGACTAGGAGGCATAGAGCTCCAGGTTGATCTGGCAGTTGATGGCGGCCTCCAAGTCCTGGTGGTAGTTGTGGCGCACCTGCGAGGTGGACGCGGTCGTCATGGCGGTGGCTGAGGACTGGCGGTGATGGCTGCGCAGCGCAGGAGCAGCGGCGGAGGCCTTGGGGCGGTCAGGGGGCGCAGTGAGGCGGTGGCAGGGGGCTGGCTCGGAGCGGCCAGCCAGGGCCGGAGATGAGCGCCAGGTTCTGTTCAAGCACTGTTCACGCAGGAAACCGCGGCAACTCTCGGCGCAGAACGTCTCGATATTGTTTCTTTACAAAGAGGTGACTATATAGGTGATCTGCTTTGTTGTAAATCGTTGAGCTATCTGTTTCCATTCTGTGCATTTTTTTATATGTGTATTATATCCAAAAAATTAAAAAGGGAAAACAGATCGAATTCCTCTCAAGGTTAATAATCACAGTGGGAATAATATATAGCCATGAAATTAAGTTTCTCAAAGGTTTAAACTGCAGTTATTAAATTGCATAACAACATTGCAGTCAACAACAGACTGCATATACAATGGTGGTCCCATAAGATTATGACAAAGTTGAAAAATTCCTGTGGTCATCATCAAGATGTGTAAGCCTAGACTAGTGTGTGTGTTTGTGTCTTAGTATTTAACAAAAAAGTTTAAAAAATAAATTAAGAATAGGATTGAGCTTATACAGTAAAGCTATAAAAAAAGAAAATATTTTTGTACAGCTGTACAATGTGTTGTGTTTTAAGTTGTATTATGATAAAAGTGTCAAAAAATATTTAAAGTTTATAAAGTAAAAGGTACTGTAAGCTAAGGTTAATTTATTACTGAAGAAAAATATTTGTAATAGATGTCAGGTAGTCCAAGTGTGTGCTGTTTATAGTCTACAATGGCGTACGGAATGCCCAGGCCTTCACATTCACTCACCATCACTTACTGACTCACCGAAAGCACTTCCGTCCTGCAAGCTCCATTCATGGGAAGTGTCCTAGACAGGTGGACCATGTTTTATCTTTTATCCTATATTTTGACTGTACTATTTCTATGTTTAGATATGCTTACATATAGTCACGTGCTGTGCAGGTGTGTAGCCTGGGAGCGACAGGCTGCACCACAGAGCTGGGGCGCAGTAGGCTGCATCATCTAGGTGGGTGTGCGTGCACACCACGACATTCACATGATGATGAAGTCACCCATCGATGGGTGATGACATACCAATCACACTGTCCTCACTGACAGTGCTCTAGGCCATCCTCTCAAAAGCTTCTCCACCCCAGCCCCTTATTCACGCACGCATACATGCAACAAACACACACACATTTGAGTTCTACGATTAGGTACCAAGAGTATTTTCTTGGTCCTAAATAAATAAAGTAATTTTCTCTCTAATATATAAAAATGAGATGGTTTTATCATTTCTTCAGTAAGCCTGTAATTTAAGAGTTAACCAATTTCTCACTCGTTCAACTCAAAAAGCAATGTTTTCTAGTAAGTGCAATGAAAATAACAAGAAAAACTATCACACATTGCCAGGGAAATATTTCTTACTTTTTTCTGATTATGGAAATAATATACAAAAAATAATAATTCATAATATATGATGTGAATGAAACAGATCACAAGATGGTATGGCTTAATTCTAATATTGTTAACAAGTATGAAAGAAAGAGAAAGACAATTTATTAGAATATCCTGGGAGCCAGAACTTTTAAAAACTACTTCTGAAAACACTATTGGTGTGTGCAAACAAGATGTGGACCTTGAAAAAAAGCCACTCCTACCAGACCCATCTCTGCAGATAACAACAATAAACTCCAGACCAGGACTAAAAGAAAACAAATAAAAGCCCTCAAAGCATGGGAGAGTAAAGAAACATAGTACAGACTCTGGGTGGGAGCTAACTCTCAAAAAAGATAATGGCACAAAAGTCTGTTTTTACTGACTTTTAGCCTAAGTGCAGGTCAATGTTGACACCACACAGGTGTGTACAATCCAACAGGAACTCTGTCTTTCTGGCCTGAAGAATGATAGGGTGGAGTTCAGGGCAACCAGAGCTGCTGGGAAGTAAGGTGGGAAAGGAGAGAATCCAAAATCTGTAAAACAACAGCTTGAATATGTGGCTGACCTCTGAACCAGCACCCAAGAGTTGCCACCCAAGTCATAGAACTTGTAGTCTAAATTCGATCAAATTACTCATCTGGAGAGAGGGAGGGAAGTAGGGAGGGAGGAAAGACAAAGTTTCACAGAGGGATATAACCAAATCTAGAGTCTCCACAACATAGCATTCAATGTCCAGGACACAATCCAAAATTACTCCATATACAAAGAAAGAAAATGTAATTCATTCTCAAGAAAAAAGATAATCCACAGAATATAAACCTAGATGTTGTAATTAGTAGACAAAGACTTTAAAGCTCAAAGACATAAAAGAAAGTAGGCTTGCAATAATGCACAAATAGGAAAATGCAGTAGAGAAATAAAAACTATAAAAAAGAACCAAATATAAACTCTAGAATTAAAAAATACAATGTCTAAAATATAAAACTTACTAGATAAGCTTAACAGCAGAATGGAGATAACAGAAGAAAAAATAGTGAATTTGAAAATAGATCAATATTATCCAATCTAAAGAATAAGGAGGAAAAAAATAAGACTGAAAAAGAAAAAGTAGACTCAGAGGCCACAGAACAAAACCAAAAGGTCCAACACATGTGTAACTGGAATCCCAGAAGAGAGTCAATGGGGCAGAAAAAATTATTTGGATAAATAGTCTAGATCCTGATATAGATTTGGATTACATTGATATGTATATCTGTCTATATTCAACAAATATATACTTAAAAATTCAACAACTATTCAAAAATTCAACAAATATTCACTTGGGCAGCTTACTGTGTAAAATTTACACTAAAAGAAGAAAACTATAAATAGGTCATTGAATTCCATCAAATGAGATACATGTTTAGGTATTTGGAAGGAGGTATATTAATGACTTTACTCTGAAATGCATCCCTCAGATGCCTCCAGAAAAAGGGATTAATAATAAACAGAAGAATCACTATGTGGATAGATGTGCGATAAAGCAAGTAAAGTAAAATGTGAACGGCAGAATCCATGTGATGGAACACATTCACTGTTAAACTCTTTTACTTTTCTTTATGTCCGAAATCCTTCTAATAAAATTTCCAGGGGAAAAAGCCATCGGGACTGACAGTGTTCCAATGGACTAACACAAACTATCTTTAAAAAACAAGAGTGACATGCCGTTTCATCTCATCCTCTTTTAGTCCACTAGCCTCTATATCAGCCAAGGTCAGGCAATGAATCTACCTTCTTCAGTAGCTACAGACTGGGAAGTACAGACTGGGGAAGAAAGAAGGGAAGGAAGAAGGATTACTTGATGGCTTCTTCATTTTTCAATTCACTATATATTAGAAAATCGTAGATAAGAAACTATGTTTTCTATGTTTACTGTTCAAGCACAAAATCATTCCTTTACGTTTTCTTTCAAGATATGTGGAAGATAACTGAGTATTATAATTACAGTCATCCCTTGGTATCTGTGGGAGGTTGGTTCCAGGAGCCCCACAGATACCAAAATCCAGGGACACTCAAGTGGCTTACATAACATGGTGTAGTATTTGTAATAATTTACACACATCCTCCCATATACTTTAAATCATCTCTTGATTACTTATAATACCTAATACAATGTATACGTAATGTAATCAGTTGTTATACTGCATTGTTTATGGAATAATGATAAGAAAAAAGTTCTATACATGTTCAGACCCAATCATCCTTTTGTTTTCAAATATTTTCAATCTGTGACTAAGGCGGAACCCAGGGATACAGAAGGCTTACTGGATATTATTCCTTTTTAAAAAAGCCAAACCTACATACAAATGTGCTGCATTGTAATCAGATGTCAAAATGGGGCTTTTCAAAAATACTGTACATTGAGTTCCGCTACAGAAAGAAAAAACATGTAATAAATAAAAGGTAAAATTTTCACAGAATTTTTTTTATTAAAGATATAAAAGAGCAAAATAATAGCAATGGCAGTATTTCCAGTATGCCTGCTGGTTTTGAAGCCCTGACATTGTGTTGTTTACCTTCAAGTCCTTCCAGATGTGAAGGAGTCCCTTGTGTCCTCGGCTGAACATAAGATAACTTAAACCTGGGCACCACAAATGGTACTTCTTTGCCATCAGATGGTAATTTGGAAAGTAAATAATCCTCAGTACAGCCAACCTGAGGCTTCACAAAAACAGATGTCAAGGGAGGTGTACAGATGGTAGTATTCTCACTATTTGAGACTGCTGCTTTAAAGTCTCTTTCCAAAGAAACTGCAAAAAGAAAAAAGTCACAAATATGAATACAGATTACATATTATGATCTAAACCCAGTATGCATTGGTACTTATTTAATCATTTTAGAAGAAATTCCTGAAGAATAGAAGAAACTACTCTTGGGTCCTATCAAACATTTCTAGAATCTACATTAATTTTATCCAGTCAAAGTTTGAGCAATTAATCCACTATTGCCAAATAACATTAACTTATGATGATAAAAGTAGTTTTTAAAGAGTTTCATTCCCTCAAGAGTTCATAGATGACAAAGAAGTTTATTTGGTAGTCGGTCCCACAATGCTTTTATGTAAAATCTAGCCATTTAAAAATAATGTCAACAACTTCAGTTTAGTACGGGTAGATTCAGTGTGACACCAGGGGGCATGTGATGCCAAGTATGGGCCTGGCCTTTAGGAGGTATTCAGTAAATGTTTGTAGAGTAAATGAATACAAATATCACAAGGGTACAAAATAAAAATGCTGTCAACAAAGATACTTCTTGTCAGTACTATGGTGAACATCCGTCTTAACTCCATAGAGTAACTCTTAAAAAGAAACTAAACTTCTCCAAGTCTACAAAACTCCACCAGATCACAAAATGAAACACACACTGACTACAGATATACACCATAACGACAATCTCCCAGTCCTCGTTTCTAAGCCCCATTTGCTCATTCTCTAGAAGGATTTCTAAACCACATGACTTAAGATGGGGAGGTGAGGAGTACTAAGAGTTAGTCTTTACACATGTCTAATATTCTTTGTAGACTGAAAATATGACTACTCCTGTATAGAAGCCTTCCTACTAAAATATCATAGGAAGCTCAGCTCTAGACCAAGAAATACACAGAACAGCCAGAGAAAAGCCTGGTTGCAGTCATAACCCTGAGGAGATAAGGAACCCACATAGGAGAAAGTGCACTCTCCAGGGGCCTGTGATGAACGTGGGTCTTCATCAAGTCCTCTGTCTCTTCCCCATTGGTCATTACTTCTGAGAAGACATCTTTTTTTTCTTATTCTTTTTTTTTTTTACTAGTCTTACTCTGTTGCTCAGACTAGAGTGCAGTGGCACACTCATGGCTACCGCAGTCTCAACCTGCTGGACCCAGGCAATCCTTCCAAGTTCTAGAACTACATGCATGTGCCACCACACCTGGCTAATTTTTTGATTTATTGCAGAGACGAGGTCTCACCAAGTTGCCCAGGCTGGTCTCAAATCCCTGGGCTCAGGCAGTCCTCTTGCTTTGGCCTCTCAAAGTGCTAGGATTACAGGCATGAGCTGCCACACCCAGTAGAAGGCATCTTTTAATGATCTATACATAAACTGGAAATTGTTTTATTTAAATCTAAACACTGTTCAGAATATGTTGTCCCCCAGACACACTTTTTCCCCATCTCTACCTGGATTTTTCCATCCTCTTACAACACCCAAGTCCAATGTTCACCTTCTCTTCCTCCTTCCCACCAAATTGCCAAAATCCCGTCCAATTCCCATGGCAAATGCAAGCTTCTTCATTGGGATGTCTTGGGCGTCTTCTGGGTTGAACTCTTTTCTCTCTATCTCCCCTGTACTTCATGGTACTAGGAGCTCTGGAATATTGACCTAGTGTGCCTTATGTTTCTGCCTCACCCAAAAAGGAAATAGGCCTAATTTTTTAATACAAAGTGCCACAAAGAAAGCACTAAATAAATGTTGAAGTTGAAACAAAGTGAAACTCACCGTTGTGCTTGTCTGTTTCACCATAGAAACACCCTCTGCAGCAACTCTTCATAAATTCTGTTGCCATTACATTCAATTTCCAGTGTCCAGCAAAAAATACAAACTTCCAATTTTAATATTAACCTGTGACAGAACAGCAAACAAGTTACCATGCTTGTTATGTTTAATGCCATTAGATATCACTAACAAACCACAGCATCTGTATTTCTAAGACATAATGAGAGCCCCGAAGCAAAAAAGAAAAAAGTCATGAATATGAATACATACTGATTGTTGTTCCCATATGTAGAATCCAGGAGCTTTATAAATTAGTAAACGGACACACTTAAAAATTACTAAATGAACAATCTCAGCATTAAAATATGAAAAAAGAAAAATCCTACTCTTGATTTTCTCTTTCACCTGATATACCTAAATCTATAACCAAGCAAAATTTGAAAGAAAATATGGCATTTATAAAAAGTATGAGAAAAATTTCACTTTCTCTGGTTCAATTATTTTGGGAATCCAAAGGTCCTATAATAACTGCATACCTTATGACTTATTCTAATCCTTAGAATTACACAAATAGAAAAGTATACTTTAAGACTGCGTCACACACACAAATAAGATCTAATACAAATAAAAGGAGTCCATTTTATATTTATCAGAAACATAAAACTGTGCAAGCACCTCATGTCCGAGTTCCTACCTTCCTTGGGTTCAATGATTGTTCCAAATCACTCTCTCCACTTAAGGCTCCTTACACTGCATACATTTTTCACAGGACATTTTAAACATATGCCAACGGAGACAGAACAGTGTAACAAAACACTCCCCCAGATCTGGCAATCACTAACTTGTGGCAAATGTGACTGCATCTCACCTCCCACCTGCCCTGTGTCCTTTGGATTATTTTGAAATATGTTCTTTCATATAACCTCGCCCCCTCAATACCTAAGTGGGAACATAAAAGACACAGCAGAGGACTCAGGAGTTACCTTGTGAGGCTCTCACTAGTTAATGGTGAATCACTTCAAGCACTAAAGCAAACGACATCTGTCATGGATTGTAACATATCACATGACTCTAGAAGATGATTTTTAAACATAACCATAATTGCATTATCACAGATAAGATAATTAACGTCATCAACTACTTAGTGTTTGTATTTCCCCTGGGGTTTCAAATTTAAATTTCTTTAAAAGATCATTGATGCTTAGACAAAAATAATAATAATGTCACAGGACTACGAGATTAGTTTAACATCTGAAAATCAATTCATGTAATAAATTATAGTAATAAAGTATAAAAACTACATGATCACCTCAAGATATGAAAAAAACAGACAAAATCTAATATTCATTCATGATAAAAATGCTGAGCAACCAGGAATAGCAGAGAGTACATTCCACAAAATGAAAAACATTCACAAAAAAGCTACAGCTAGCATCAGTTAGATTTTTTTCCCACTGAGACCAGGAAAAAAACCAGAAATGTCCACCCTCCCCACCTTCAAATACTGTACTGGAGATTCTAGGCAGGACAATTAGGCTAGAAAAATATATAAAAGGCATTTATATTAGAAATTAAAGACACAAAACACTTCATATTGGTAATTAAGAAGGAAAACCCTCTTTATTCACAGACAACATGATCTTGTAAATTTAAAAATGCCTAAGGAATCCACTAATGAACTACTACAAGGTTACAGGATATAAGAACAAGACATAAAAATCATTTGTATTTCTATATACTAACAATAAATAGTCCAAAAATGAAAAAAAGAAAACAATTCCATTCATAATAACATTAAAATAAAACACTTAGCTGGGCGGTGGCTCACGCCTGTAATCCCAGCACTTTGGGAGGCCGAGGCAAGAGGATTGCCTGAACCCAGGGGTTCGAGACCAGCCTGGGCAACTTGGTGAGACCCCTCTACAATAAATAAAAAATTAGCTTGGCGTGGTGGCACACGCCTGTAGTTCCAGCTACTTGGGAGGCTGAGGTGGAAGGATCAACTGAGCCCCGCAGGTTGAGGCTGCAGTGGCCGTGAGCATGCCACTGCACTCCAGTGTGGGCAACAGAGTGAGACTCCAACTCAAAAATAAATAAAATAGAATAAAATAAAATACTTAGTAATACTTTAACAAAAGAAGTACAAGACTTGTACACTGCAAACTATAAAACATTACTAAAAGATATTATGAAATATCTCAATAAATGTAAGAGGATCTCATGCTTGTGGGTTGGAAGATGTAATATTGTTAATACATTAATATTATTAATATCATTAAATGGCAGTACTCCTCAAATTGGTCTACAGATTCAACACAATCCCAACCAAAATCCCTTCCAGCTTCTTTATAGAAATTGACAAGTTGATCCTAAAATTCACACAACGCAAAGGATGCAGAACAGCCAAAACAATCTTGAAATTAAAAAAGAACAATTTTGGAAGACTAACTTCAAAATTCACTACAGAGCTATGGTAATCAAGGCAGTACAGTATTAGTATAAGTACAGACATATAGAATAAAATCAAGATCCCAAAATAAACCCTTACATTTATGTTGAACTGATTGTTAACAAAGATGTCAAGAAACTTTTCAACAAATAGTACTAGGACACTAAGTATTCACATGCCCAAAAATAGAAACAAAAATAAATTGGATCCTTACTTCACACCATACACAAAAACTTACTCAAAATTGATCACAGACTGATATGTAAGAGCTAAAACTTCAAAACTCTTAGAAGAAAGCATTGGAGTATATCTCTGTAACCTTGGGTTAGGCAATGATTTTTTAGATACAAAACCAAAAGCATGAGTGATAAAGAAAAAATTGATACATTAGACTTAATCAAAATTTAAAATTTTGTGCTTTAAAAGACATCATGAAGAAAGTGAAAAGACCACCCAGACTGGAGAGGTATTTGCAAATCATAAATCCAATAAAGGGCCTACATCCAACATATGTCTTATTTCCCTGTGCACTTGCTTGTCTTTGACAATGTATTCATTAACCATGAAACTTAGGCCGAACTCAGTGGCCCAGCCTGTAATCCCAGCACTTTGGGAGCCTGAGGCGAGTGGATTGCCTGAGCCTGCAGGTCCGAGACCAGCCTGGGCAACTTGGTGAGACCTCATCTCTACAATAAATCAAAAATTAGCTGGACATGGTAGTGTACGTCTGTAGTTTGGCTACTTGAAAGGCTGAGGCAGAAGGATCTCCAGAGCCCAGTAGGTCGACACTGGGGTGGCCATGAGCGTGCCACTGCACTCCAGCCTGGGCCATGGAGTGAGACTCCAACTCAAAAACAAACAAAACCATGAAACTTCACTGATAGAATTTTTTTTAAAGCCCAAAGTATACTCCAGATAATATTTGCATATGTTTACTAGATCATTTTATGTTAATGCCTTGACAAATAACCCAGTTTAAAAATGGGCAAAGGATTTATACAGAAATGTCTGCAAAGAAGATAAGAAGAACTACCAATAAGTACATTAAGAGGGTTAAACATCATTGATTATTAGGAAAATGCAAATCAAAACCACAGTGAGACACCACTTCACACATGTTTAAAAATGACAGAAAGTAAGCATTGGTGAGGATGTTGAGAAGGCACAACCCTCCTCATGGCTGATGAGACTAGAAGAGGATGCAGCTGCTTTGGAAACACTTTGGTAGTTCCTCAAAAACTTCACACAATTACCACAGGTCCTAGGAATTCCACTTCTAGGTAAATGTACCTATGAGAATAGAAAACATATTTCCACACAAACACTTTTATACAAAAATTCATAGCAGCACTATTCATGATAGTCAAGAAAACAGAAACAACCCAAATGTCCATCAACTGATGAACAGAAAAACAAAATGCGGGCCTTTTCCATGCAGTGAAATGTCATTCAACCATAAAAAGGGTGGATAAACCTCAAAAACATTGTGCTAAGAAAGCAGCAAGGCACAAGACACACTGTGTGACCCCGTTCACATGCAATGACCAGAACAGGCAAGTCCAGCCACAGAAAGCTGGGCTGAGACAGAAGGAATGGGGAGTGACTGTGGGGAGGGGGGGGGTGACAAGAATGTTCTGGAATTGGACAGTGAAGACGGGTGTACAACTTCATACATACGCCCAAAAAACCCCACTGAGTCGAACACTTTAAAAGGGTGTGATGGTGGGGGACAGTTTTAGAGCACCGGGATGCTAGAAGCTCTCCCTACCTTCTGTTTGGCGGTCATAGCTTCCCAAGGACAGGCTTTTTCCCTCTGTTTTACTTGGCATTGAGGCAACTTTCCGTGCAGTCCCTTAGAGGAAGTAAAGTGAACGTGCACACTTTCCATGATGTAACCACCCTCTGGGATGCCACAATTGGGCCAGAAGGCCTCTCAGCTTAGCCTGAATGAGCCCTGGGCAACTTCCAACTATCCCCATGTCCTGAAAATCCACCAAGTTCTTATGCAAATCCATTAGAGTTCTCCTAGTTCAGCAAACACCCTCAGAGCAAGAAAGACTGAAACACTCCCTAGTCTCTCATATTTTCAGTTTTTTCTTAGATTTTGTCATGTTAATTCCTATCTTTTAAAATTGTTTTTAAACTACAACAATTCTTAGCAGTTTTTGGTGTAAAAGTTGTTCCAAATATCTCAATTTACTATATTCCCAAAATGAAATTTCTATATTTACTTTTCAAGTTAAAATTAACTCTAGTCAGTTAGGAAAGAATTTGCAATCTAATATAATCTATATTACAATAGCTTCGGTATTATTACAGTATTATTTATGGCTTCAGGTGATTATAGTAGATATTTAAGAATTAAATAACACATTATACTTCGATTAAAAGTTTACTTTTAAAAAAGAAAAAAATTAAACATTAATTTGAGGAGGAGTTTGGTGTTAAGAGAAGCCTGAGCAGATGACTTGTTCTCTCAGGTGTCAAGGTTCTTTACACAGCTAAAGTAAACACGACTGTGTGGTCAGAATATAAAAACAGATTTTTCTGTCTCAGAAAAAATAGCCTAGAAATGTTAACTACACATACATGGAGGCCTCGTCTGTGAGACTTGAGGATCACTGGAATACAAAACAGAATATTTAATAAATGATGATGGGAAAATGGATTACTAGTATGG